CTCGTCCTCCTCATCCTTCTCCTCATCCTCATCCTCCCCCTCCTCCGCCTCCTCCTCCTCCTCCAACTCCTCCGTCTCATCCTTCTCCTCCTCCTCCTCATCCTCCTCGTCATCAACACCAACAGCAGCATCAGCATAATCACCATCATTTGCATCACCATCAGCATCATCAGCATCATCATCATCATCATCATCATCATCATCATCATCATCATCATCATCATCATCATCATCATCATCATCATCATCATCATCATCATCATCATCATCATCATCATCATCATCATCATCACCATCATCATCATCATCATCATCATCATCATCATCATCATCATCATCATCATCATCATCTTCATCATCATCATCATCATCATTCTTAGCAAAAACAGTTCACCATCAGCATCATCACCAACGTCACCATCATCATCATCATCATCATCATCATCATCAGCGGCATCCGCATCGTCATCATCAACAACAGCATCAGCATCGTCATCAGCATCATCAGCATCATCAGCAGCATCGTTATCATCAGCAGTATCATTATCAGCTTGAGCATCATCATCAGCAGCATCAGCATAAACACCATCATCAGCATCCTCAGCAGCATCATCATCACCATCATAAGCACCATCATCATCAGGTCATCATCAGGATCATGACCATCATCATCCGCATCATCATCAGCAGCAGCTTCATCATCAGCATCATCATCATCAGCATCATCAGCATTATGAGCATCAGCATCATCATCGGCATCATCAGCATCGTCATCATCATTACCATCAGCAGCATAATAATCAGCATCAGCATCATCATCAGCCGCAGCATCATCACAAATCAGCATCATCATCCGCATAATCGGCATCAGCATGATCATGATCATCAGATCATCAGCAGCATCATCACCGTGATCATGAGCATCATCAGCATCAGCAGACTCAGCATCAGCATCATCATCACAATCAGCATCATCACCATCGTCAGCATCTTTATCATCAGCATCATCATAAGCATCATCATCATCATCATCAGATCCTCATCAGAACCATCATCATCATTATCATCATCACCACCATCAACATCAGCAGCATCATCAGCATCAGCATCATCATCGTCATCATCATCAGCATCATCAAAATCATCATCAGCGGCATCAGAATCAGCATCAACATCATCGTCATCATCATGATCACCATCATCAGCATCAGCATCATCAGCATCAGCATCATCATCATCAGCATCGTCATAATCATATCATCATCAGCATCAGCATCATCAGCATCATCATCATCATCATCAGCAGCAGCAGCATCATCATCATCAGCATCATCACCATCATCATCAGCATCGTCATCAGCATCATCATCTGCATCATCATCAGCACCGACAATATCATCAGCAGCATCATAATCAGCATCAGCATCAGCATCAGCACCAGCATCAGCATAATCAGCACACTCACCATCATCAGCATCATCATCAGCACCGTCATCATCAGATCATCATCAGCATCATCAGCATCATCAGCATCATCAGCATCATCATCATCAGCAGCAGCAGCATCAGCATCATCACCATCATCAGCATCATCATCAGCAGCAACATCGTCAGCAGCATCATCGTCATCATCATGATCAGCATCAGCATTATCATCAGCAGCATCATAATCATCATGCAGCATCATAATGAGCAGCAGCATCAGCATAATCATCATCATCATCAGCAGCAGCGTCAGCATGAGCATTATCATCATCAGCATCATCAGATCATCATCAGCATCATCACCATCATCATCGGCATCATAATCAGCAGCAGCATCAGCATCGTCATCGTCATCATCATCAGCAGCAGCGTCAGCATGAGCATTATCATCATCAGCATCATCAGATCATCATCAGAATCATCACCATCATCATCGGCATCATAATCAGCAGCAGCATCAGCATCGTCATCCGCATCATCAGCATCATCATCAGCATCATCAGATAATCATCAGCATCATCACCATCATCATCGGCATCATAATCAGCATCAGCATCAGCATCATCATCAGCATCGTCAGCAGCATCATCGTCGTCATCCTCATCATCAGCATCAGCATTATCATCAGCGGCATCGTAATCAGCATCAGCATCATCATCAGCAGCAGCATCAGCATAATCACCATCACAAGCATCATCAGCATCAGCATCAGCATCAGCATCATCATTATCAGCATCGTCACCATCATCATCAAATCATCATCGGCATCAGCATCATCATCATCAGCATCATCATCAGCAGCAACATTATCAGCATCATCATCAGCATCATCAGCATCATCACCGTCATCTAGTCATCATCATCATTATCACCAGCGGCATCATAATCAGCATCAGCAGCATCATTGGCAACAGCATAATCACCATCAACAGCATCAGCATCAGTATCATCACCATCATCAGCATCATCATGGTCAGATCATCATCAGCATTATCACCATCATCATCAGCACCATCATCACCAGCAGCAGCATCAGCATCAGTATCATCATCATCATCAGCATCGTCGTCATCATATCAGCAGCAGCATCATCATAATCACCATCGTCAGCATCATCATCAGCATCATCATCAGCAGCAGCATCAGCATACTCATCATCATCAGTATCATCAGCATCATCATCATCGGCATCATCATCAGATCATCATCATCAGCAGCATCATAATCAGCAGCGGCATCATCATCAGCAGCAGCAGCATCAGCATAATCACCATCAACAGCAGCAGCATCATCATCATCATCAGCATCAGCATCATCATCATCAGCAGCATCATCAGCATCAGCATGATCATCAACAGCACCATCATCATCAGCAGCATCATCATCATCAGCATCAGCATCATCATCAGCATCATCACCATCATCAGCATCATCACCATAACCATCATCATCAGCATCCTAATCAGCATCATAATCAGCATCATAATCAGCATCAGCATCATCAGCAGCAGCATCAGCATAATCACCATCATCAGCATCATCAGCACCATCATCATCAGCATCATCAGATCATCATCAGCATCATCACCATCATCATCAGCATCATCGTCAGCAGCAGCATAAGCATCATCTTCAGCATCATCAGCATCATCATCAGCATCATCAGCATCAGCATCATCAGCATTAGCATCACCATCATCATCATCATCAGCAGCATCATCATCATCATCATCAACATCATCAGCATCAATCTTCATCATCATCATCATCATCATCATCATCATCCATCATCATCAGCATCATCAGCATCATCAGCATCATCATCATCGGCATCATCATCAGATCATCATCAGCATTATCACTATCATCAGCAGCATCATAATCAGCAGCAGCATAATCATCAGCAGCAGCAGCATCAGCATAATCACCATCAACAGCAGCAGCATCATCATCATCATCATCATCAGCGGCATCATAATCAGCATCAGCGGCATCATTGTCAGCATCAGCATGATCATCAACAGCACCATCATCATCAGCAGCATCATCATCATCAGCATCATCATCAGCATCATCACCATCATCACCATCATCAGCATAACCATCATCATCAGCATCATAATCAGCATCATAATCAGCATCATAATCGGCATCAGAATCAGCATCAGCATCATCAGCAGCAGCATCAGCATAATCACCATCATCAGCATCATCAGCACCATCGTCATCAGCATCATCAGATCACCATCAGCATCATCACCATCATCATCAGCATCATCGTCAGCAGCAGCATAAGCATCATCTTTAGCATCATCAGCATCATCATCAGCATCATCAGCATCAGCATCATCAGCATTAGCATCACCATCATCATCATCATCAGCAGCATCATCATCAGCATCATCATCATCAACATCATCAGCATCCATCATCATCATCATCATCATCATCATCATCATCATCATCATCATCATCATCATCGTCATCATCATCATCCATCATCATCAGCATCATCAGCATCATCAGCATCATCATCATCGGCATCATCATCAGATCATCATCAGCATTATCACTATCATCAGCAGCATCATAATCAGCAGCAGCATCATCATCAGCAGCAGCAGCATCAGCATAATCACCATCAACAGCAGCAGCATCATCATCATCATCATCAGCGGCATCATAATCAGCATCAGCGGCATCATTGTCAGCATCAGCATGATCATCAACAGCACCATCATCATCAGCAGCATCATCAGATCATCATCAGCATCATCATCAGCATCATCACCATCATCAGCATAACCATCATCATCAGCATCATAATCAGCATCATAATCAGCATCATAATCAGCATCAGAATCAGCATCAGCATCATCAGCAGCAGCATCAGCATAATCACCATCATCAGCATCATCAGCACCATCGTCATCAGCATCATCAGATTATCATCAGCATCATCACCATCATCATCAGCATCATCGTCAGCAGCAGCATAAGCATCATCTTCAGCATCATCAGCATCATCAGCAGCATCATCAGCATCAGCATCATCAGCATTAGCATCACCATCATCATCATCATCAGCAGCAGCATCATCAGTATCATCATCATCATCATCATCATCATCATCATCATCATCATCATCAGCATCATCACCATAACCATCATCATCAGCATCCTAATCAGCATAATAATCAGCATCATAATCAGCATCAGCATCATCAGCAGCAGCATCAGCATAATCACCATCATCAGCATCATCAGCACCATCATCATCAGCATCATCAGATCATCATCAGCATCATCACCATCATCATCAGCATCATCGTCAGCAGCAGCATAAGCATCATCATCAGCATCCATCAACATCAATTTAATCATCAGCATCATCATCATCATCATCATCATCAGCATCATCATCATCATCATCATCAGCATCATCATCAGCATCATCCATCATCCATCATCATCATCATCATCATCATCATCATCATCAGCATCATCATCATCATCCAGCCCTCCGCGACCGCAAGCAGTGACCGGGCAGGGAAAGTGCAGGCCGAGCGGGAAAATCAGGGCAATGGCAGGCCGCGCGGGGGGGGGTGCACGGGGGCGGCGCGGGGGCGCGGGCGCGGCCCGCGCCGCGGCGCCTGGGGGGGGGGGGCGAGGGAGGCGTCCCCGCATCTGCTGGCATCCTGCTCATGCTCCTCCTCCCCCCCCTCCTCCTCCTCCTCCTCCGCCTCCTCCTCCTCCTGATCCTCATCCTCATCCACTTCGTCGTCCTCCTCCTCCTCCTCCTCCTCTTCCTCCGCCTCGTCCTCCTCCTGCTACTCCTGCTACTCCTGCCTCTCCACGTGTGCAAGGGTCCCCGCCCACTCCTCGCCGCCAACGTCACAATCACAACCACCATCCCGTGATCACCAGCATCACCACCACCAGTACCAGAATCAGTATCGTCAATATAATCGTCATCATCATCAGCATCATCGTCATCACCATCCTCATCCTCATCCTCATCCTCATCCTCATCCTCCTCATCATCATCATCATCATCATCATCATCATCATCATCAGCATCGTCATCAACATCAACAACATCATCATCACCATCATCACCATCGTCATCGTCATCAGCATCATCAGCATCTTCATCAGGCACAGCAACACCATCATCAGCAGCATCATCATGGTCACTATCATCATCATCGTCATCATCATCAGCACCATAAGCAGCATCATAATCAGCAGCATCATCATCAGCATCGTCGTCATCATCAGCCGCATCAGCACCAGCATCACCATCATCATCAGCAACGTCATCAACCTCAACAACAACATCATCACCATCATCATCACCATCGTCATCGTCATCAGCATCATCAGCATCATCAGCATCTTCATCAGGCACAGCAACATCATCATCAGCAGCATCATCATCGTCACTATCATCATCATCATAAGTATCATCATCATCATCATCATCATCATCATCATAATCATCATCATCAGCATCATAATCAGCATCATCAGCAGCATCACCAGCACCATTGTCATCATCATCATCGTGAGTGTCATCATCAGCATCAGCATCATCGGCGTCATCATCAGCAGCAGCATCATCATTATATACAACAGCCGCATCAGTATCAGCAACATCATCATAAGTATCATCATCATCATCATCATCATCAGCAGCAACATCAACACCATCAGCATCGGCATCGTCGTCGTGAGCGTCGTCGTCAGCATGATCATAATCATAATCATCATCATTATCATCATCATCATCATGACCAGCATCGTCATCAGTCTCATTGACGTCATCATCAGCATCATCATCGCAATCATCACCAGCATCGTCATCCGCATCATCATCATCATCATCATCATCAGCCTGGTCGTCAACAACAGCAGCATCATCAGCATCATCATCGTAAGCGTCGTCATCACCACAAGCGCCATGGACGTCTCCATCATAATCCTCATTGTCGTCAGCATCGTCATCATCAGCCTCATCAACTTCATCATCATCGTCATCATCAGCATCAGCAGCAACATCGGCATACTCATCATCATCATCATCAACATCACCATGAGCATCAGCATCATCAGCATCATCAGCATCATCTGCATCGTCATCGGCAGCAGCATCATCAGCATCATTACCATCAACAGCATTAGAATCATCAGCAGCATCATCATACTCATCATCATCATCATCAGCCTTCGCAGCATCATCACCACCACCATCGCCATCATCATACTCATCATAGCCATGATCATCAACAACAATCAGAACCATCATCATCAACAACAATACCTTCACCATCGCCAGCAACAACGACAGCTGCAACGTCACCCTTATCATCATCAGCATCAACATCTTCAGCATAATCCGCATCGACGTCATCCGCATCACAATCATCATCCTCATCATCATCATCCTCATCATCATCATCCTCATTGTCATCATCATCAGCATCATCATCATCATCATCATCATCATCCATCATCATCATCATCATCATCATCATCATCATCATCATCATCATCGGCAGCATCATCAGAACCGCCATGAGCACAATCATCATCATAGTCGTCATCATCTTCAACGTCACCTTCATCATCAGAATCAACATAATCGACATCGACATCTCATCGTCACCAGCATCATCGTCATCATCATCATCATCCGCGGCATCATTAACACCACCACCGCCATCACCACAATCATCAGAATCATCACCGTCATCATCGTCATCGTTCTCATCATCCCCAGCGTCATCGTCGCCGTCCTCATAACCATCGTAATGAACAAGCACAGTAGCATCAGCATCCTGATCATCAGCATAATCATCCTATACCTCACCATCGTCATCATCATCACCATTATCGTCATCGTCATCGTCATCGTCATCATCCGCGTCGTCATCATCAACATCAGCATCAGCATCATTACCAGCATGATCATCAGCATCCGCAGCATCATGATCACCATCACCAATACCGCTT